GAACCGCCCGATTACAACCATGATTTGTGTTTTAATTCCGCGCACTAGGCTCCCCTGAAGATGAGCCTTTGCAGGCTGGATAGACCGAACTGCCCAGGGTATTGACTACCTGCCACAGGCGTCTTTTTCTAGAAGCAACACTTGCAGGAAGTCCCGAGTCGTGCCGCCTTAGTTCAAGAATTTTAACACTTTGAGATGTAATGAACAGCCGGACCTCATCAGCTGGAATGGCCCGACGTGCAGCAATCCTTGGCGAAGCTACTTGGAGGTTCATGGGTACTTATAAGTATGGTTATAAGTCCCCTAATATGGGTTATAATTATAGTTACCCTACTTATGACCCCATTTATAACTACCCATGAACCTCCAAGTAGAAGTGAAGCTCATAGATCTGCGTCCCTTCCACGCTCCCGGTAGCTTGAGTTCAGCTCTCGGGCTCCCTGAGACTGGCACCAAACCCTACCCTAGGCTTCCAGGGACCTTATTATTGGGTCCTTAAGGGGTCTAGGGCCCTAACTATAAGGTCCTTGGAAGCCTAGGGTTATTATACCCCAAAACCCAGATCTCTAGCCTTCCAGACTTCCAGATCTGCAGATGATGCAAGACATTGCCATGCTGTATGAACGGGCCTCCCGCCTTCAAGCGCGGAGCCATCCCGGCCGACTGCCCTCCAAAAATTGCTGTCTCAGGTTTATGGTGTGGGGTCTCTTTCCTCCGAAAACCGACACAAACAGCACGAACGATATAGGGGCCTCAATCATTAGAATAGGGTGAGGGGTAATTTCTTGTGCTAATAATAATAATAAGTAACCCCCCAAAAAATAGTACTGGCAGTTGTTTAAGCTCCTATATTAAGCTTTAACAGCGTTATAAGTATGAAGCCGCAGCCTCCACCGAAACCCTTTGGGCGACAGCCTTGGCAATTATGTAGGAGGCCCCCCACGCCCTGTGGAATCCCAAGCCCTAAAGTTCTAGATTCTCGTGTTTAGGATTTTGGGCCTAGGGTTTACAGGCTTAGATGCCCTAGCCAAAAACTTGAACCCGGTTTCTTTATCCTCACATGCTAGAATGTCGGAAACTTTGGAACCAGATCGCCAGCTCTCCGACCCGGGCCATGTCGCCTCTGATTACACGTTCGGTGAAGAGGACTTTGCGACTTTGTGGCCCCCGGGAGGTAGGGGTTTCACATTCAGGCATTTCGGGGCTGGAATAAGTGCGTCAGGATTTTCGGGTTTGGCATCCAGGCTCACATAGCATTCGGCGCTCACACTCGGACTCCGAGCAAAGCATGTGCTAGACTTCTTTACGTTTCGACTGACATGTTTTCATGGCAGACTCAAACCAAAATATATGTCAAGCCCCTTCAAAGCATAAGCCACGATGCTCTTGGTATATGCGCCGTCGGATGCTGTCCAGAGGCGCGCGCAGAGCATCCATAGCTTCGCTGAGAGCCTGCCCTTCAGCTTGGAAAAGTTGTGCTCCAAGTGGCGACAGACTTGCGAACTAGGGTTTGGGACTCCGGATAGTATGTCAAACTTTATGGGGCTTACTTGGCTGTTGAGCTTGGGGCTTCGTGGCGGACTGGACTTTCGTGCTCCCTTGCCTGCTATTCGACACGCACTCATGCAGTCCTTCTGTGGCTTCTCGCCGCCAAACCCGACGTCTGTTATGGCCTGACTGAGCCTAAAGTTGAAGGATTTCCAACGCCAGGTGCTCGAAACGAAGACAGCGCAAGGCGGGTAGAGCTAAAGTTCAGGGCAGGTTCAGGGTGAATTAGCACAACTTATCAACCCAGTTTGGGTTCTTTTCCCGGGGCCAAGCTCCAAATCTGCAAGTTGGAAACTGGGAGCCGGGAATCCAAACGGTGAAAGTAATAATAGAGGGGGGCCGATATGCCTACTAAGTAGCTACTGTATTGGTACTTGGACCGTTTGTTTGGGGAGCAGCCGTCGCTGACAACTATCAGCCGGACAAGGCACCGTACATTGCCAAAGCCTATTGCCAGTGAGCCTTTGTAGTGCACTGCTAGACCCTTCGGAAAATTTGAATGTGGCGCAGGATACAGCAACTCCATTTTCCGCAACCTGCTCACTTTGGAATGGTTACCTCGTGCTTCGTATGCTTACATATCACGGCGTCGAAAGGCGCCTCGGTGCCTCATCAGTACATCCCTCGACGGAAACTTCGAGATTGTTTTTTCTTGCTGCCCTTCTGTACGGAAATGCTGCAAATGAGCATGGGCGGGCAACATGCCGGTACAGAACTTCTTTCAGCACACTCCCTGATGGTCAACCGCAACTCGAACCTATGTCCCTAGAGCCCGAACATCGAACCATAAAACCCCGCCAGATTTTTCAGATATGCGCAACTGACCGTAAGAGCGTGACGAACCCTGATGAAGCCACGGGTTTTGGCTAAGCCGAACCATATACATGTGGGTTGATTGAGATCAATGCTTGCTTATTTCGGGCTCCTGGAGCTTAGGATCCAGCGGCCTGGTTTCTATGAGTCCTTATTGCCTTGTTGGCTACTCTATCACTTGTCAACGAAGTGACACAAACACATCGGCCATGACTGAGACTTCTCGGCGCAAAACCAGAGGAAGGTAGGGTTTAGGGTTTAGGGTTACCATATGGTGAAGCTGAGCACGCACAGCAAAACCCTCATACATCCTAAAGCCCACAGCTTCTCGGACGGTACTTCTTGACCATTGACAGGACTGGCAAGATGTGAACAAATCTAGGTTGGCCTTTTAAAGCCTGTGCAAAATAATTCGTAAATAAGTTCCTCCTAGGCCCAATACGGAGACACTTGACAGAAGTCTCTGCACCGACTGCCTCTCAGGACTCAAACGAGCATGGAACTCAGAGTGTGCAGTGGGTCCCCACTCAGGTCAGGTGGTGTTTCTACTGTTTGCATTGCCTACCTGTAGTCTCCATTGTAGTTCCTTTTTGGGGGTACCTTAAAAAGTCCTTAATACATAATTGGTTAAACCAAACAAAGGAACTACAGTGGAGACTATAGGTACTTTCCAGCAAGCCAAGCTTCCAAGTTGAAGCAGCGTGCGTAGTTGAAACAGCAGGGGCCCGAAGGGGCATGCGAGTGGATCTGTATGCCCTATACCATATGGGAGTTTCCGAAAATTGGGGGTACTTTATTTTGGAGTTCTTATAATAAGGATTCTACTATTTAGGGTACTATTTGGGGGTCCCTATTTTCGGAAACCCCCATATGAATGCAGAGCCGGTATTGACATGCTGAAATTATGTCTGCACATGTGTTTCCTACAGATGCAAGGCCGAAAAGGGCGA